TTATTTCTCAATATTGGATGATAGACATTCAATTTTTTTTATTTTTTTTTTCAATTTATGAAGAGCGATCCCATTATGTATAGTTGCTAGCTGGCTAGTTAATTAGTACAATTATTAGGAAGCTACTCCAATGAAGTTTAAGTGATAATTTCGGGGTTTAAATTCGGCCTCTTTCATATTTTCTAATAATCTTGACTTTTATTTTATTTTTATTTTTTAATTATTATTATTAATTTTATTTTTTCATTAGTAACAATTAATAGACAACATATACTTAATGGGAAAATCGAGTTTTGGCTCAACCAAAATTTAATTTGCAGGGTACCAATGGCAATGGTTGGGTCAAATCATGTATACACTTTGTAGTAAACCTATTCATTAGTGCTCCAATATATATAATAAAGCTTATATATACGACTGACTCATAAAAGAGGTTTAAGTAGTCCCTTAAAACTTGATAATGTGGTACGTAAAAATACTATCTTGATTATTGGGTTTCAATTCAAGCAATGGCGGATTTAATAAGGGGTAGGGGGGCAGCCGCCCCCCAGAAAAAAATACTCGTACTTTTTTTTATTGCTTTTTGACATACTATTATATAAATATGTGTTTTTGTCCCCCTATTTTTATTTATGTAATTTTAGATATTCTTTCTCTATTTGTTTTTACAATATAAAATACAGCTACTAAAATATATAATTTTACTTCAAAATTATAAATATATACTTATTTTGGCAATATTTTGTGAATAACCCGAAAAAAAATTTCGAGGGCGCTGCACTCGAAATTTCCAAAATTATAACCTCCCTTTGGATATATTTTTTTCCTATTAAATTCACCCCCTTTAAATGTTGTCTAGATCCACCACTGCATTCAAGTATTATAGCATGTTTAAATAACAAATCAACTTAATAATATTCATTATTACTAATCTTTCTCTCTCTCTCTCTCTCTCTCTCTCTCTCTCTCTCACACACACACACACACTCAGTTCTTTCCTTATATATAGGAATTGAGTCAATACTCGCGGATGAAGGTACCACCGGATGAACAAACGTTTCCATGTACGACAATATTTGACTCACAATTGACAGAGTCCGTGAGCATGAAAAAAAAAACATAAAAGTGTGACGGAGTTGGTAGGGTTTCAAATGAGAGAGAAGCTATAGATCAGAAGTAGAGAGTATTTAAGAGTAGGGACGATGTCATGAGAGA